GATCAGATTACTAGACCTATTCGATTACACACCTCTTCTGGCAGCCTCACTAGTAACCCGGAACGCATCCTACAAATCTTTCACAAACATCTCTCGCGACTTTACTCCCACTCCACACCCTTTGACTCCACCCAGGCTGCCCCCTCCTGGCCCCCATCTCCTTTCCGACGCTCTCTGAACATCACTAGCTGCATTAGAACAACCCATCACCTTAATCGAAACCCTAAACGCTATTAAAAATTTAAAGCTTCGTAAACGCCCAGGACCTGACGGCTTTTCTGCCACATACTACAAAAAATTTGCCCACCTTCTAGCGCCCATTCTCACTAATGCATTAAATGCTGTACTATCAGGACATACCTTCAACCTAGAAACAGTCCAAGCTAACATCTCAATGATTCCGAAACCCAATTCAGACGACACACAGTGGTCCAACTACAGGCCGATCTCTCTCCTTAACATTGACATAAAACTGCTAGCTAAAATCCTCTCCACGCGCCTTAACTTGTGTATAGGCTCCCTAATCCACAATGACCAAGTGGGCTTTATCCCAACTCGACAAGCCAGAGACAACATCAGACGCGCAACTCTCTTGGCACATATTGCTAAATCTCGCACATTCCTGCCTGTTTCCTGTCCTTGGACATCCGGAAGGCGTTTGACACAGTATCATGGCCATATCTGCACTACATTCTGCGCCGTTGGGGCTTTGGCCCTCATTTTTTAACCTGGATTTTCTCACTATATCAAGAGCCCTCGGCCAGAGTGAGATACCTCGGACATAGATCTGCTCATTTTCCTATCTCCCGTGGTACAAGGCAGGGCTGCCCTCTCTCCCCCCTACTTTTTGCATTGGCCATAGAACCACTAGCCTCCTAATTAGAGCTAATCCGGATGTCCGGGGACTTGAATTAGGCGGGTCTCATCACAAATTATGCCTCTTTGCTGATGACGTTCTAGTTTTTCTTACTTCTCCCTTGACTTCCTCTCCCTCTCTTCTCCGGCTTCTCGAGAGGTTTGGCTCACTCTCTGGCCTTGTAATAAACTCTCACAAGTCTATGGCACTTAATATTTCCTTCCCCCTAAGGAGCTAGCCCACCTGAAACAGATCCTCCCATTTTCTTGGTCACAGCACCATATTCCTTTTTTGGGAATCAAACTGACCCCAACCTATCAGACCTTTATGCAGCTAACTATACTCCCATGCTAACTCATCTCACTGCTCTTATGACTAAATGGTCCTCCTTACCGCTTGCATGGCTAGGCAGAATAGCAGTCATAAAGATGTCAATCCTCCCAAAAAATCTTATATTTATTTAGAGTACTTCCAATTCCAGTACCCTCCCATTATCTTCGTATATTACAGCGCCGCATTTCCTCCTACGTATGGGGCACTGTCCGCCCCCGTATACCCCGTTCTACCCTTTACCGTACCAAGCTAAGCGGCGGTCTTGGTCTTCCTGATGTCAATAAATATTACCAGGCGGCACATCTAGCTCAGTTGCCAAAATACCATGCAACCTATGAAATTCCCCAATGGGTTGTTCTTGAATCTATAGCATGTGACCCCCTCTCCACGGCTAATATACTTTGGCTAAGACCAATCGACCGCCGCTCAATAACGAATCCCATCACTTCCCACTTTCTATCATTGTGGGATAAACTGAAGACTCGTTATCTTCTCTCCAATCGCCACATAACCCTTTACTTTCGTATCTTAAGAACCCAGCCTTTCCCCCAGCATGGTCATCGCCAACCTCATTTAAAATATGGACCTCTGCAAACCTTCTCCGCACTCATCATTTCCTACAGAGGAACAAATTCAAATCCTTCACCTCATTACAAGAAACACATAACCTCTCAGCATCTGAAATATTCAGGTATTTACAATTACAACATTTTTATGGCCCCTACTCTGCAACATCTACCCAAACTAACACCATGTCCCCCTTTGAAGGGCCTGCCATAAAGACCCCCATAGACGCGGCCTCATTTCATGCCTGTATGCCATACTCACAACTTCGGCCACCACATCCCCCCCTTCATATACCAACAGATGGGAAACAGACCTAAACCAACAATTAGACCCGTCAGACTGGGACCACATCTGGGCCAACACAAAAACTTCTTCGGAGAATATTGTAGCCTTGGAAACCAACTATAAAGTTTTAACACGATGGTACTTGGTTCCGGCGAGAATCGCAAAATACACCCCCAATTATTCCCCTAACTGCTTTAGAGGCTGTGTAGACCCGGGAAACGCATTATCACATATGGTGGGACTGCCCAATAGCCCAAACTTTCTGGACGGACTCTTTAACATGATCACCAAATTTAGTGCAGCCCCGCTTCACCCTTCCCCTACAATAGCACTTCTCAATCTACGCCCTCCTGGCGTAACAACGTCGCAATTCAAACTCATCCTACAAATTACCACTGCAGCCAAGCAGGTTATTGCAAAATCCTGGAAATCCCCCACTTTAAGCATTGCTGCAGTCAAAACTAGAGTAACGCAAGCCATGATACACGCAAAGGTGGAAGCCACAATCCTTGACACAATTCCTCAGTTCCTAAATGTCTGGAATCCTTGGGTAGAAGGCTTCTTCCTCCCGCAGAACTTCGATGAATCGCTCCTTCTTCCCCTGATGTGCAAACCGTGCATTCTTAGCATTAGTCTGGCACCACTGCGAAACCGAACACACAAATCACTACCTCTTTCCCTTCCAACCATGGAGTCATTTCCGTCACCCCTCTCTCACCCCCTCCCCCAGTCCCCCTCTGTTCACCCCCCTAACTCCCCACGCAGCTCTAGAGAGTCCTCATCCCCATAGTTTAATGTCTGGGTGATATGCCACTACCCTCTGACAAGAATTTTTACTTACTTGGCATCACAGGTTGTACTGCTTTGTTTTATTGACTCTCCCTTGATATATAATGCAATTGACACTGAATATACTTTCCCCCGCACTTTACTGTTAATATAATGTCTATTGCCTACTGTTAATGTTTTTCTTCCTATGTTATAATACCAATAAAAAGTTTGAACAAGAAAATGCATATTAGCAGGAAGCTTTTAATTATAAGGGAAAGGGGTGGTTACCTGTACTCATGTAAAGTTGAAATGTTCTTAACATAAAGGTCTTGTTCAGACCACACGTGCAGAAAAAATCTGATGGAAAAACCATGCAGACTTCACTTGCAGAGACATGAGTTTACATCAGTTTTCATTCAGTGAGTTTCATACACATTGCAGATTCCTGTGCAGAAAATCTGCACATAATACTAGTGTTGTGGCATGAACAGGGCACATTGAGAACAATTGTTTTCCATGTGCGCTTGCAGAACGTGCAGAAAAAACTCATGTTTCTGCACATGGTGTGAGCAAGGCCATAAAGTCCTTGTTATTCCATTTGTAATAAAAAAAGATCTTAAAAAGCGAGTTTAGTTTATTTACTGATAAAGCTGTACTTTTATTTAAAGCGTACTACTTTTATACACACTGAATTTCACATTCCCAGTATAAAAAAATGACTTTCAATTTGTAAAACTACTCCACATTAAATTTTTTTAAAACTATTTTTCTGAAAATTAATATTTTGTTTCAAAAAAAAAAAAACATTCTGTTTTGAAAAAAAAACATTTTTTTTCCACATGGCTTAAATCAGTTCAGTTTGACAAAAAAAAAAGTATTGCAATGCAGTGTGCACAAACGTCACTCACTAGTTTATGACAGCGCATGCATACATCTGTTTTTTACAGTTTATAAATTAATCAATGCATTCAAACGGCCCTCCATGTTATCCTCTGTGTCCATGCCCACAGACTTTTAAAAGCTTTTAGTAGCAGTAGCGTTTACCAGCAGGAAAAAACCCCAGGGTCAGTGAGTCCAGGAGCAGTAGCATTTTGGCAGAAAATAATGCCTGACGCGGCTAAACGCTAAGAACGTTTAGCACTTCAGCGTTAATTCATTTCAATGGCCAGAATATATTATCATTCTGGCCAATGAGATGAATTAATGCCCAAGAGCTTGACGCTTATAAGTGTGCCTAAATGCTTGTAAAAGCGTTAGATACTTTTACAAGCATCATGTTTTGTTTCTGCAAAAACGCTGCTGCTAGGAGGACAGCTTCTAGGAGAGTTGTTTTAACATCATGTGTGCATGAGGCCTTATTTCCTCTTTATTCAATGATGGACAGTGTCAAAACCACCCTGTCTGTATTCACATAAATCTGAATTCCAAGCAAATACACATGAAATATATACACATAGAATTGTTTTACTTGCCAAAGGCTTTGTATTTCTGCCCATCCAGTAATAAGATTTACACATCTCTGCCCCAAAGCACAGCCCTGTCTGTCATAGGAGCAAGCTTATTCCTGATGCAGTTTCATCTTAACTGACAGGTCTCCTTCCCACCCCACCTTCTGAATGGACACTGAAGAAGACACAGCACACTGATGATCATATCTCTGTCAGTCTGCTCTTTCCTTCTTTCAAACAAGTCTCTTGCACTGTAGTACATATGACTGGGTATTATACTGGTTCTTCATTCCCCTCTCTCAATTGTGCTGTACAGCAGACTGCAAAAGGCTGATACCAAGTCAAATGCAGGCCATTACTGTATCTATTTAATAAAAATACACATATAATGTCTTAGTGATTACAGAGCTGCATTTATTATTTACTTATAGCTGCAGATATAAAAGCTGCCTTTTATATCTGCCCGGATCTCAGGTTTAAAACTATTAAGACACAATGAGACAGCTATGATACACAGTTAAATATAGTAACAGGAAGTTCATTGTATTCACCAAGCAATTTCCAAAATAAATTAATGAACCTTTTCTATTGTAGCCATGAAACAACTAAAATGCTGAAGCTTACAACACATCAACAGTTCTTTGAGGGCTTATATTTGGTGAATATATCCAGTCTATTGCTTTTTATTATTAGTTTTTTTCTTTTTGAGCAAGAACATAGTTGAAGTATGATGATATTGGTTATCTGAGTCGGGGGAATAATCTGATGAAGAGGATCATGCTGATAAAAGTGAAGCAGACAAAGATTAGCATAATCCATAGGATCCAGTTGACAGACTTCTTGGCGTGTTGCTCAAGGCGGTCTGATTCAGTCTTTAGTTTTTCAAAGTTCTGGTCCGCTAACTTCAGAGACTGGGAGAGTGTCTGAAAGAGGTAAAGCAAATAGTCACTTGTTTTGAGTCGGCTGCTGTGGGAAGAAAGGCACAGCTTCAGACAATAAAAAAAAAAAAAAAAAAAAAAAAACAATAACAGAAAAGCTCCTAAGACTTAGTACACACTGGCTGAAAATGGTCAGTTAGGAAGGAACCAGATGACTTTCGGCCTGTGTGTACAGCTCCTCGTCCAACAGAGGCTGGTATCTCAAATGGCTTCTGTCAAACGGGCTTGCTGGGAAACTGACATCTGATCAGTGTGTCCTGGCAGAGGTGGTCCCCCTGTTAGAACACAATAACTCAGCAGGGAGATCGCTGCACTAACATTGGCCTGCTGGGTTGAACGAAACAAAAAAAAAAAAAACTTCTTGTGTGTACCCCAGCATTAGACTTGTTCTATATTATCTGAGGGGAACCATCCTCTCCTCTCAGCATACATCTCCAATGAAGGGGTTATGCACTTTCAAGCATACAAATAAAACATGATTAAACCACAATAGTGGAGAACAAAAAATGTCCTTATACATGGTGAATTAAGTGAAATAACTGTACAGTCAAGTAGCAGCAAACTGCACAAATGACATTCCGTGGTTATGTACCCACTGTACCTGGTTGTCCTGTTTAATGACATTTTGTGCTGCTAATGTGTTGCTTTTAAGATTCTGGGTCAGGCGTAGCATCTCCTCTGCTAACTTTTCTTGCATGTTGTGGTGACGCTGTAACACTGCATCAAGCTCAGCTTCTGACTGCTTGTCATTGGAAACAGAGCCCCTAGAAGATGAACTAGTTATTAATTACAATGACATTTTATATTTCTAGTGCTTGCTAGAAAAAAAAAATGAATTTTTTACTTACCTATAAATTCCATATCTTGGAGTACAGTACAGGACACAGGTGAAGTATTCATGGACACTGGTTTCTAGGCTTGTACCTTCAGGTGACTGGACACTAGTAAAGCTTTCAAGCACATGTCCCCTGGATGCCCCCCCTTTACCCCTACCCCACTACCTGAGTCTTCAGTATTGTAGCAACCACTTCAGAGTAACCATAGAATAGAAGAGAGGGTGGTCTGTGTCCTGTACTGTGCTCCAAGATGTTATTTACAGATAAATCAAAATTCCTGTTAAACATACAGTGGAGAAAACAAAGTAGTCAGACAATGGGACATCTACAAGCAATAAATTAGGTGTTTTGGCAACAACCAGAAAAACAGAACTGTGCCAACAGGCCCAACAACAATAAGGGCCAAAAGCACCCAACCTCAGAGTGCCACTGCAAGATCTTTGTGGCCAAAAGCTGCATCTAAAGAAGACTGGACATCCACCTGGTTGAAATTTGAAAAGGTATGAACAGAGGATTAGGTGCACCCTTACAAAGCTACTGGGGCCTGGTGCTGCAAAAGCCCTGGAAATTCCCACTGATGTAGTGGAAAGTGAGCATAAAAGCACAGAAGGAGATTTGACCTTGACAGTGTAAGCACTAGTGATCAGTTTTCTTATCAATCGAGAAGTGGTGAATCTGGAAGCAGGGTGTCCTTTGTTAGTTCCTGAGGATGGGACAAATAGGGAATCTGTACTCTAGATCAAAGCTGTTGCTTTGAAGTAGGCTCTTACGATGTCTGGGCAATGAAGAGATATTTCCTTTTAATGCTTTGAAGCAGGGCATAATGATGGTAGGAATATGTATGTTCTCATTAAGGTGGTAGATGGATACCACCTAAGGAAGAAGGAATAGTCTTGGGCATAAGATTATCTTGTCAATTTGAAGGATGAGGAACAGCTTCTTACAAGAGAGCCACTAACTCAGAGACATGTCTGACAAATTTGATAGCAACCAACAAGGTCACTTTGCAGGAAAGGTCACCTAATGGAATATCTCTGATGGGTTCAAAGGCTGCTTGTAGTAGATGGGTACTGCAAGGCAGACAGAACTAAGCTGAGATCCCAAGGAAGCACGGGGTGCTTTAAGGGGGGCCTCGATGCAAGATACAGCTGGGTTAAAGTTTTTTTTTCCCCCACAAGGGAGAGCAAATGCTGAGATCTTTGAAAAAAATGGACAATGCTAAAACCTGACCTTTTAGAGTGCTTAAGGCAAAATTCTGGTCACGACCTGATTCTAGTAAGGCCAGACTGCAAGGTACAAAGTAATCTCTGGGACTGAATTGACTGCATTCACACCAGGAAAAGAAAGATTCAAGGTACAATAGTAGATCTAACTGGAAGTGACTTTTCTTGCTTTCAACAAGGCAGGAATAACAGACTCCGAGACTTCCCTGTCTCTTAAGACCTGGGCTTCAACAGCCATTGTCATCAAAGCCAGAGATTGAGAAGCAGGAAGGATTAAAGGGCCCTAAAACAGAATATCTGGCCTGTTGGGAAGAGGCCAGTGGCCGTTTGCTAGAGAACGTCTGTGTACCAGGTTATTCTAAGCCAGTTTGGTGCAGTCTTCCTCTCTTGCACTATCATTTTGAGCAGACGAGGCAGAATTTTGGTCCTGGGAACAAACAAAGATAGTTTGATTTTGAATATGAAAGATAGGATGTCCTTTGTTTCTGACATATCAGACTGAAGATGTCTGCATGAATGGTCCATTTTCCTTGACTCAGGTGGCAAAAACAGAGATGTGGACTACAGAAACTGCAGGGCAGTGAGTTTCTGTTCATGCTCCGAGCTCCATGATGTTGATGGGAGCTTGACTTCCATCATTGACCATTTCTACCTGGGCCCCCCCCATCTAGCCTGAAAGACTATCATCTATTATTGTTACTTTCCAGTGATAAGGAAGAAAATAGTTCCCTAATGTTGAGGCTGACTTGGAGATCCACCAAGTTATTACTTGTTTAGCTGGATAGGAACATGGGTAGGTCAAAAGAAGGAGCATGCTTGTTCCAGGTTGACAAGAGGTTGTGCTGGAGAGATCTTAAATGAAATTGGACAAATGGTACTGCTTGGAAAGAGGTTGTCATGAGACCTAGATCTCTCATGGAGACTCTCATTGTAAGATGTCTCTTTGACTTCAAGTATTGAGTGTAAACTCTGACTGGGAACTTTTTTCTATGAAAGACAGACCTTTGCTTGGGATGTGTCCAGTATCACACCCAAGTATTCCAGGTGAATAGAAGGCTGGAGACAAGATTTTTGAAAATTGATTCCCCAGCTGAAATCCTGGAGCATCTTGTTTTGTGGAGGTTTGCTGGAAAGACATCTGAAAAGGAGAGGAGTCCTTCAGAAGAACATCATCTAGATAACCTGTGACCTGAATGCCCTGAGTTATGATAAGGGCAAGTAGAGGTGCTAGAACCTTTGGGAATACTCTGGGAGCAAAGGATAGGCCAAAAGACAGTGTGACAAACTTGAAATGGTTGCCACTGCAAGGTGCAGAAAGTGCTGATGAGGTGGAAAAATGGAAATATGAAGATAGACATCTTGGACGTCTACAGATGACAGTTATTCCCCTATTCTCAGAAAGGCAATAACCAACCTTGCAGATTCCTTGTGATTTTTTTTATTTTTATTTGAAGGTAGTGGATAAAATATTTTAGGTCCAGAATAGGGCAAATACCCCTGATGGGCTTTGGTACTGTGACCAGGTTTGAAGAGAAACCTTTGAACCTGTCTTGTGGGGGTACTGACAACTACTCCATGGGACTAGAGATGGTTCAGGACATCTTGCAAATCTGACTGTCCATTAGCAGTTTTTAGTTGAGAAGAAAGCGTGAGGAGGTAGTTTTTTTAATTCTCTTTTTTACCCTTTTTAAACCACGGTATTATCTCACAATTCTGGAACGTCTGTGACCCCGAGTGAGGCAAACTGTAACAGCCATCCCCCCACTTTTAGGAGTAAGGGCACCCGTTCATTGGGAAGAGGGTTTGGTGAAGACTTGGTGGGCTTTGTGACCCAAGTCCTGTGCCAAAAGGAAGGGCTGAACTAAGTTTTTTTTTAAGTTTAAGTTCGGTGCTCTGCATTTTGAGGAAGTAGAGGCTTCTGAGGAGAGGATTTTTAATGTTTTTGATGACTTGGTCAAGTGCTTCCCCAAAAAGATGTCTGCGTTTTAAAGGGCATACACATGAAGTGATTTTTGCAGGCCACAAGATCCTTTGCACGTGAATGGAAATTAGAACCATTCTGGAGATTCGTGTCATCACACGTTCAAGGGTTTCACACAAAAGAGCAGAACAGAAGTTAGTTGCTGCAATAGCACTGTTCTGAAATACAGGATCATATGGGTTGCTATGGTCCAGTTTTCTGCAGTATGACATAATAAAAATCCAGTGAACGCTGGTTGTAGGGCTGAGCCTACAAGAGTAAAATAACTTTCAGGAACATCTCACTATCTACCTGCAGAATCATTGAATGAAGGAACATGTTTAATTGGTACAGTGAGATGTTTAATAGTGAAACGGCAGGAACAGACCCCATTATAGTGAACTTTCTTCCACTAGATAGAGTTCGACAAAGATTGTATTTTGGGGGGAGGGGGGATCTTTCTAAAGTAATCCTATTAGATTCTATTTGCTCATGAACAGGCAATGTCTTTATAGATTTAGTAGGCCTCTTTGTACCCAAAGGGGCATGGTGAGATGGAAGAGGATCAAGTTCTACAATGTCTAGGCTTTTGCGCACAGCAGTGAACTTATCCACAATGGCAAACTTGTTTCTTGAAGCTCCAGCATCAGATGTTAAAGAGCATGGAGGAGAAAAATCTTCCACAGACTTTTCTAACACCTCTTATATATCTTCCACTTTTTCCTTCTATGTCTTCCTTGTCTAGTTCAGGCATATTGGGATCTGACTCAAGTGAAGACAGTGGTGCTGGAGGAGGGGTGTGTCGTTTTACAGCCCTGGACAAAAATGGCTGTATTAAAGCCATTATTTGTGCAAGGAATTGTGACACAGTTGCAGAAAATTCTGCTTTTGTCGGGTAGGCCACTTGCTGTGTTCCTGAGATAGAGCTAGAATCGGACACGGAGGCCGGTGTTAAAACCAGTTCCTGCTCCAGTGCAAGAGAAGCATTATCACTCTGAGGTAGAGTGCTATGCAAGCCTTCAATAGACCAAACGTTCACCTGAGGTTGAGCCATGGCTCTCTTTTGCCTGCTATCCGCTACAGCTACAAGTGAGGGTATGCCCTTGTGGAGTACTCATGAAGTAGAGTGTGAAATATAGGGTAAGCAGGAATAAATACACAGTAACCTGTGTGTAGACTTGTGAAAGGGCAGGAGGAAACACCTGAGCACCTTATAAAGTCTCTCAAAGGAAGTGCCAGTAAAGTGTGCGACCAGTGTTGTAATGTGACCAAGTTTTGAGTGGTTGCATTTTAGCGCCAAGTTTGGAATGTATTCCTTTACAGTGTAAACTTTTCAAACAGCCAGAGTTTTTACAGTAACAGTCAGAGGTACAGGGTGACCCTGTCTTATGCAGGTCATAGACGGTAGTTTATCGGCCGAATTTTCGTCCGCATGAAAAAAATCGGCCGATATTCAAACTGTTAGCGGGGCCCGTCGGCCGTTTTTCACGGATCTTCTCGTTTAGTTTCATCGGTCATGCTGGAAAATCCACAGAAAACTGCCGTTTTTCGTGGACATTGGTGAGCATCGGTAACGGGGCCGACTTTTCGTTTATCACCCGAAAATGCGGCCAATAAACGGCCCGTCTATGGCCTGCCTTACCTATCCGTGACACCAAGCTGTATATAAGTCCAGGCTTTGCCTGTCACAGTGGGCATACTCCCAAAGGGGTCTTCAGTGTCTGGGTTTTATAGTGATGGACCAT